TGCGGGCAGACACTGAGCAGATTTTCAAGTAATTAGTTGCTTTTTTAATTAGTGCCAAACAAAGAAACAGATATTTCAGTATTTTTCCTCAAAAACCAAATTTTCTAAAAAAAAATTACTTTTCAGTTGATTAGTCATCAAATTCAAAGAATTCACTTGTGAAATTCCTCGAAAATTGTCCTCCAACATCGATCCACCCTTAATCTAAATCAGTATACACTCAAAACTATGAAACTCAAGCGCTGCGCGTTGGTATTGGCTTCTCGCGAGTGCCTCCCCAGCTTCCGGATTTTCCTCTCCTGCGTGGTCTTTGTGTACACACCCCCACATCTCTACCCCCTTGAAACACAACCACCCACTACATTCATTCATTCATTCCGCGAATTCTACACAAAATCCACGCGGCTGACTCTTAAACGAACATTCTAAGCATGCCGTCGGCGGGCTTCGACGATGACGCCGCCAACCAAACCACCCCCCGCGCCTGCGACATCAAAAGTCGCCCGCAAGGTGATTGATTGCATTCACCGACTTTGTGTTCTTTGCGCCGTCGTCGTCGCCAAAACTAACAATATTATCAACTCGGAACTTAATTTAAACTACATTTACGATCAGCGTTTCGCAAAAGATTTTTGAATGCAATTGTTGTAAAACAAAAGAGTTTTCCTTTTTGTTTTTGTTTTATAACCTGCGAAACTAAATTTAGCTTTGAATGAAAGTTACAAGCGTAAGCAAAAATTCTCAAAGCGAAACTTTGCGCTAAGTTTTCCTTTCAACACTTAACTAATGTCCTTGGGGCTTTTTTTACTTCTTTATTCTTACATGAGCTTTTTAAGTGTGGTCTAAATTTGAAATTTACACCGCGAAGCAACAGCTTGGATAAAATAAACGCGTATGGAAACTGGTGCGGTTTGAGTAACGGAATGGGGGATAATTTCATAGAAAACTTTAATTATGATAAATATCCATGGACATAAACTCGGTAAAGAGAATGTGAGCGCACACAGCGTAGATATACGTACATGAAATTACATGAGTGAGTTATAATACACGCGGGGGTGGAGGCGTGGACGGCGGGAGGGTGAGACGATACGTTTAACAAAATAGGCAAACATAAACAACGCCGAACGACGGCCCGAGAGTATTTACGACCGGCCGAATAACTTTAAGTTTTACCGTAAAGTTATTATTATTTTGGTCCACACCACCCGAAGGATAAAATTTAATTTCATGTAAATACCTTAAACACAGCCCAGAATAATAATATTATTTTGTAGGTTATAATAATTTATTTTTGTGGGTTTATCACAACAACCTGTATATGATACGTGGTGGAATTTCAGCTGTACCCCTTCTTTCGCTTACATTTAGTGCTGGGATGTGTGCAAACACAAACAGAAATAAATTCGAAATCGTTTCACTCTGCAAAGCAAACAGAATGGAATAATGCGTTCGCTTCGGTTCGAGCGTAAAGGGGTTTAAAAATTCATCCCACGCGAAAAAGGAGCGCACGACGTTATGGGCAATTAATTATTTCGAATCTCCGACGGTCATAATACCTACTTTAACAAACAAATCAAATATTTGTTTAATTTAAATGAAAGTTCTTAGTTTTTTTTTCTGTGTGGTTGAAAATATTTTCACTGTAATCGTCTCAGGGGTGAGTTGGTCTGATTAATTATTAAGGTCTTTTCCGGGGAGTTGAGGTTGATGGCGACAGATGTTCCCGGACGCAACACGCGGACCGTAATTATTTTTCATTTGCGATCGAATTGCTCGCCGCACAGGGATTCGTGAACTGTGGGGGTTTCAGGGGTGGTTTTTGGGTGGAGGGAATGAGTGCTACGTCTCCGAGAGCGATTTCCTTTGCGCGGTGCGCGTGTCGAAAATAATTGAAACTAAAGACTACGGGCGTGCGCGATTTATCAACATGGCGCTCAAGCATTTAGTGCGCCATCTCTATATTAAAGCCGGAATTAAATATTTGTAGTTGTGTTTGTATTTTGGGTAGTATACTGTAGGTGGAAAGCATTGCTGTGATTGTGACGAATTTACAAATGGCAACAAACTGACAGCGCGAAATTGCAAAGAAACATCGAAACGAAATTAACTACAACTGGTCCGTTGCCTTCGCGCTGCCGCCATATTATCAATCATTTTGGCACTCGACTTCCAGTTCAGTTGAGTTCGCTTTTCGTTCTCAGCCGGTCGGCATATGTGCAACCTGAAAAGTTTCAACAAGCTGGAGTGAAAGTTTTTGTTTTTCATAGAAAAAGATGTAAATAAAACTGAAAATAACTCAGTTAAAATTTTTCTTTTCAAGTTTTCTATTTAATTATCAGGAGTATTATTAGAAATTGTATGTACGTGCAGGTAATGATAATTAAAAGCAAAACATCAGGCGCAATAAAATGTCAAATTAAATTACGTTACTATTTTACTTTTCCGAGTAAAGGTAGAAATAAAAAGTAACATGTTGCTTTAATTAAGTTAATATCGTTAGCAAAATCATGAAGCAACATTTATGTTTTAATCAAGCAAATTACATTCCCCACGTAGTATTTTTATCACTTCTTCCGGAGCGTAACTATTATTAATTACAGGTTGTTGATATGCAAATATATTATTTATCATTTGTGAAACTACATTTAAATCTTTAAATAATACATTTTAACGCAATCCCTTATTCATTTATTCAACTGTAACTATCATTAAATCACTATATTAATTTTCACCACTTAATTAATACCGTTTAAATGACAATAGCTATTATTTTAAAAGAGAATATCTTATTCCAGGCCGAGATAAATTCAAAAAATCATAGATCATCGAAATCTGTCCAGTCGTTCTTGAGTTATAAATGGTGCAACTAACGAAAATCTATTTTATGTATATTCAGATTGAAAATTTTGTATTCAAATCCTAAAAAAATGTGAAAACAGAAATATTTCAACTCAAAAATTAAATATTATTTATTTTTCATTTTAATTTTATTATTTGACGATAATTTACCCGAGTTAACAATATCGCTAAAGCGGTTAAACGATTATAGACGGATTGTAATATTGCGTTTGACAGTTAGATGTATGATGAATTATGGCGTTTGGGATGAAGCCAAACGGGGTTGAGCGGATTGCACGAGCAACAGTATATAGCCCATGCAAAAGCCAACCGAAAACTTTTTGTCCGTTCGAGCGCGGCGAGTCATCACAATCACATTATCCTCCTTCCGATTCGCCCACGCAACTATAATTTATTATATTGTAGATATTTTGGCGCGTCTTTAATGCCCATTACGTCTATTCGCCGCAATCAATCAATCATTCATCAATCGTTGAAATAAACGCGTTTCTCAGCTTACATTTATTTAATAATCGTAAATTACTCAAGTTTAATGAATTCTTTTGTAAAGTACTATTTAAAGGCTTCATTCGTGTAATTTGAGATGATTTAAAGTTTCCTACAGTTTAATAGAATTTGAGATGATTGTAAAACATACAGCGTGTTTAAAGTGTTTAGTTTTGTTTTATTTTAAAAGAAAAAAAGGATTTTTTTCGTTTGGTATTGGATGTCTCCTCTCCTACGATATCAAGTTACTAGTTTACATCCAAGATTGGGGAGTTGGAATTGGAGACGGTTTGCCAGGATGTATTTAACTCGTTGTTTTCCCAACTTGTCTGAAGTCTTCGAACACCTGTGCTTGTCCCATTTGAAGGATCCTATTACTTAAAGTAATAGCTTTCTTTCTATCTACCTCCTGTTCTATGTTCATAATCACAGACGTCTTCTTTTTAATTACAAAAAAGCATTTCTTTGTATTTTGTTGTGAATCTTACCAAAAATAACTTTTTTGGCACAAAATATAAAATAAACATAAGTGGAATTGTTTCCAAAGAATTTCCTCCCACAACCCATACCAGAAAAAGTTGCTTCCTCAGCACTTCCGGTATTCAAAACTTTTGGCACTGCTACACTGATTGTATTGTTCTTTTTGCTACGTGCGTGTGAATTAAACTTTGCGTAAAAAGTATGCCGTGCCGGAAGTTAATCCCGACTCTACGAGATAGAAATCTCGGCCGAGACGCGTCAGCAATTCCGTGTCACAGATTACAGACATTACTGCGACTGGTGGTGTAGTGGTGGTGGTGGCGCGAGATGCGGGCCGCCGCCGCCGAAAACGCAAACGCGGACGCGACCAGCCGTGAAAGTTGGAAACGTGAGGTAAATGTTAACACTCAGGCTGGAATCGCAATGCACAAAGCGCACTCACACAAACCAGGCATCAAGAAAAAGAGATAGGGGTGTAAGGAAAGTGGAAAGGGCAGGAAATTGCCGTTGGATTATGCGAATCTTTTAAAATCTTAAACGCATACTAAGCAATAAAAATCAAAGCGGAAATAAAGCACACAAATGAAGATTACTTTCTTATATTCAAATAAAAAGTCTAAAATTTTTATTTTTATTATTGACAAGTTAAATTTACACATTTTACGCATTTGACAATGATATATGTAAAATATTGTGATTTTTTTTCTGGTGCCGCGTGCAAGTATTGTAATTCACTGCCGACAGACAAGATGAAAAGCTTTCAGGAAAACACAGAGAAGCGTTGTGCTCGGCACGTATTTTAAAGACCAGAAGGACGCGTCGAGCAGAAGTAGGCGCGTCCCGCGCGCATCCCTAAAAAGCTTCCACGATGATTAGACAGACGCCTTCGCTCGTCGGCGGCGGCGGCGGCACGTACGCGGTGTACTTACACTTGTAAAACCTAAATGGAGGCCGTGATTTACTCCCCGCCCAGTGCTGTTAGCTTCACTGAGTTATATACCTTCATGCACTTACCCTTACATGCCATAAGAAACATAAAACGCAAACCCCAAACAGAAAGTGTGTACATCTAAAAACGTAAAAGTTTTCAACTTTTCACATTTTTTATAAATATTTACCTGTCTGTGGTAACCTACCTACAATGTGTTTATTTACTTTTTTTGGTGTTGCAGATGTGGTTGAAGGTTTTGATTCCCATCTTCGGGGACCGGCGTTCGTGATGGAGCCGCCAACGCGACTAGAGTTTTCCAATTCAAGCGGAGGATGGTTGGATTGCTCGGCGTCTGGTAGTCCACAGCCGTCGATCGACTGGCTGTCGGTGGACGGCACTTCCGTCGGCGACGTTTCCGGCATCCGGCGCGTGCTGCGCAACGGCACGCTTGTTCTGCTACCATTTGCAGCCGCCGCCTACCGTCAGGACATCCACAGCACTGTATATCGATGTGTTGCTACTAATAGCATTGGCAGGATCATCAGTCGGGACGTGCAAGTGCGAGCTGGTAAGTTAAATCATCTGCGCATGCGCTGTAGCACAAAACTTAAAAAAGCATAATGTGTTGCCTACTTTTTCGATAATATTACTTCACGAAACTCATTTGAATGGGTCACGGATTTCCCCGTTAAATTTGCATAACAAAAGACGCCCGAATTAGTTTTACGGGTCTTTACGCCAACCAAAATTAATTAACTCCGAAAAGAAGGAATTAAATTAACAGCCCGGGTCGCAGCGCTAAAGAGAATGGTTTTAAAATTAGAAACAGTCAACTGTTTCAAAACTCGGGCGCAAAATTTTCACGACAAAAATTATTTTCGATTTATTTTTTGCTTTTTTTCCTGCGAATAAAGAAAAGGAACAAAGAGATAAAATTTAACAGAGCGTACTGATGAGTTCTAAAAGTATATTGTGGATAGCACCACGATTTGGATTGTTATACGTGCTGTAAACGTTATGACTGCAATCAGTAAGACGATAAAAGCACAAATGACTCAGTATAAAACTCTGCACGCACTTCTTGATAGGCTCAGTGAAGGCGTAATCAGGCAAATTGTCAAACGACAAGATACTAAACATCAGATGTAATAGTATAAAAGTAGTTTTTGTTCTAATTACGCTTTCAATTTGCTTCGATTGAAGCCTGCTTTGAAGCGCGGAATGCTTTAAACTGTTTAAATGAAACAAGCGCTCTTTAAGCTTCGCATTTTTTATTATTTATCTTGAGATGCAGCATCTCGAGCGTTTTTATACATCGTTTTCTTTTTTAGTCGTCACGCAGGCTTTCAAAGTCGACGTCGAAGTGCAAGCGGCGGCGCGGGGGTGTACGGCGGTGCTGAAATGCGTTGTGCCGGCGTTTGTCAAGGACCTGGTGCGGATCATCGCGTGGGTTCAAGAACCTTCTTTCTATATTTACCCCTCGTTACAAGGAGGTAAGTTTTTTAAGTTTTAATCACATAATATATCGTTTTCTTTTATTTTGTAACTTTGAATTGTTATTGCTTTATTTTATTGCATAGAAAACAAAAGTTTTTAGACTTTTAGTTAAGGTGCACAACCACAGTTCTTGATGAAAATCGTTGAGGTGAATGATTCGCAGCGACCAGTAAAGAAATCAAAGCGAATCCAAGCCGGAAAAAGGCGTTCGAGCGTGTAAGGGATTTTTTCATGGCCGCTGCCTTCGAATGTCGCCCGTCAAGGGACGTTTTACATAGCAAACCTTTCGGTTTCAGAAAACCTACTCAAGCGTGCACAATCTCATACTTTGATAAAGCAAAACGGACTCTCTCAAAGAACACACCACACAACGCTTTTTATTACTATGCTGATTTTGTTTGTTAATTAGAATTCATGTTAAAAGTTTAACTCGCATGCCCAGGAAATGTGCAAACTGCCATCGCGAGACCGCAGTCTGACGTGTGTTTGTGTGTTTGGCAGACGGAAAGTTCCACCAGTTGCCCTCCGGAGAGCTGCTCATACACAACTTGGAGTTCAGCGACCAGTTTCCCTCGTATCGCTGCCGGACGATGCACCGTCTCAGCCGGCAGGTCGTCATCAGTAGTTCGGCGAATGTGCGCATAATAGGTGAGTGCTTTTGGTATCGGTATCACCAAAACCGGAAGTCCAGACACATCTCAAAGTGCACGACTGCAACTTTAACCCCCAAGTTTGGCAAAACAAAGTCATAACAACGATAAAGACGTCGATGTCAAACCTAATCGGGTGACATAACCTAACATAACCTAACCTCAAACATTCACTATTTATCTTTATCTCTTCCATTGTCTAAAATAAATTGAACTTTTGAAGATTTTGGATAAAAATAAATATTACCCATGAGGATAGAGCTTTTATGGTTAAAAGCTCAAATAGAAGCTTGAGCTTGTAAAAATCGAATAAAATTATCATCGCTGGTATATTATTTATGAGTCTGGTCCTTTTCACACCGCTGTTTACCCTTTTGAGGATATTCAATAATCGCCAAGCGCCGTTTCAACTCTCATACGAAACAAAGCTTTATTAATCTTTCACGACTTTGCGCTGCACAAAAGCGAGGTAAAGATTTAATCCGCTTTCATATCGCTTGTGTTTAATCCGGCCCACAGTATTAATATTTTTCGCTTTGCAATACCAGCTAGATACCCATCATTCATATTTATAACTAGTGCGGCAAACAAGATGGCCGCCCGGCGATGTATTTACCTTTTAAGTACTGCGTTTGTAAACAGCAAACGAACGAAACTTTTTTTTCTCGTGATGAATGTAGGAATGTATCATAAACGGCATCTCGCGTTGATGCGTTTCCTTTTCTTTGAATCTGTTGGTAATAATTTTCCATTCCATTCGCACGTGGCGTGCGCGATGGGAATTTATTTCCTTTTCATCTCTTTGTATTGCGACGCGGCGCTGGCTGCTCTCTCCGCCACAATGCGCATGTAGATTCGTAGAGATATCTAAGCGGTGTGCAGACGCAGCGATAAAAGAAAAAAAATCACATCGCAGAGAAAAACAAACATTAAAAAACGGGTCTATCACACCACAAATAACGAATATTTTAATGAAAGAGAACTACCGACTTGTTTTGCAACAGCTAAATTTAAAAATATCACGTTTTTCTACTTCAATTCCCAGAGCATCGCGGAATCGTCGCTCCAGTGATCATCGAAAACTCGGGAATCGTGACTGTCGCCCAGGATGAAGGCGCCGCACTGATTTGTATCTCTCAAGGATGCCCAACTCCAGAATATAGGTTTTTATTCTCAACATCAACATCACATAACCTCAATTTGATTTTTTGTTATTTTTTTGTTTCTAAATAACAGTTGGTTTACTCACAATGGCCTCGAACAAAACCTCTTGGTACCTGGTCCACGAACCCGTCAACTAGGCCCTGTCTTAGCTATAGAAGCAGTGACAGTAGAAGATGGCGGCTTGTATAAGTGCACCGCTTCGAATGCAGGTGGCGAAGCAAGCGCTGAACTACGTCTTGTAGTCTCAACTAGTCTCCACGTTGAGATATCACCACCAGTTCTCAGTGTTGACATGGGTGGATCAGCAGAATTCAAATGTTCTGTATCCGCACAAAATGGTGGACCTTATTTAGTCACTTGGTACAAAGATGGCCGCCAGTTACCTACAACTGGAAGAGAATACGTTGTTGGTCATGTTGGCAGAGAAGATCGTGGCATGTATCAGTGTATTGTAAGAAGAGCAGAAGGAGATACAGCCCAGGCAGCAGCGGAATTACAACTTGGTGGTAGGTGTACCCAATGTTAATGTAATTAGACAATTCTGGACATGGACACTTGTTTCTGTTTCAGACGCGCCACCGACGCTCATTTATAGTTTTATCGAGCAAACTCTTCAACCAGGCCCGGCCGTTTCGCTTAAATGTAGTGCAACGGGTAACCCCACACCTCAGATCTCTTGGTCGCTAGATGGCTTTCCGCTCCCCAGTCACGGCAGGTTAGCAGAGCGCAATTTAATTACAGTTCCCTAATTAACTCGAAATATTTCGTGGTCTCGCGACGTTAGTATCACTTCAGATTAATTGGAAAAGTTATTTGAGTATATATTTTTTCAATCTTATCGTTTCTTGCTATTTTGGGCGCTGCACAAAAGAGGCGCACCAATAATAAGGCAGATTAAACGAAGTGATAAAAAGTTTGAAAGCAAAAAAGAATTACGTTCGAACGTCCAAATTGGCACAATTTGTTGACTCTCGCGCCGCTTCGAAAGCGCTTTACAAACATGAAGATGAGGAAAAACTTTTTTTCGCTGTCAACTTACAGTGTGTCACCAGGAAGTTTTTGGTAAACTTTGTAAATCCCAAACTAGATTTTATGATTTCGAATCGGTCTGTATGATATTCTGAATTTGCCACCTCAAAGAAAATCCAAGTCACAATCTTCTTTATATTAAAAAAAAGTCTATGAAACTGATGAATAAGCAGTTTTTTGTACCTTGAGGGATCCGGCAGCTCGTTAATGATTTCCAAAACTTACATAAAACTTTTTTCCAAAGGAGTCTGAGAAAACAAGTACATTATCGGAATTTATTGCCGAGCAAAAAGAGACATTCGCTCACAATACGTTCGGTAATGGCGAGACATGGCCATTGCTGTAGAATAATCTACAAGCAAAGTTTTTCGATTAATTGTGTGGCATGAATATCAAATGCGCGTATTTACATTTATAGGTTCGTGATCGGGCAGTATGTTACCGTACACGGTGACGTTATAAGCCACGTGAACATCAGTCATGTAATGGTTGAAGATGGCGGCGAATACACATGCAACGCTGAGAATCGTGCCGGAAGAACTTCGCACGCTGCAAGACTCAATATCTACGGTATTATTATTTTAGTATAAAATTGAGTGAGGTTGCATAATTGACACTTGGGATTTCCTCATGCACATCTGATAGGATTGCCATACATCCGATTGATTCCGAAGGTGACGGCCGTCGCCGGTGAGACGTTGCAGTTGAAGTGCCCGGTTGCTGGTTACCCGATCGAGGAAATCCATTGGGAGCGTGGCGGGCGCGAACTGCCCAACGACCTGCGGCAGAAGGTGCTGCCCGACGGCACGCTGCAAATCAATCCGGTGCAGAAGAAAGCCGACACCGGCGTGTACACCTGCTGGGCGCGCAATAAACAAGGACAAAGCGCGCGCCGCAGCGGGGAAGTGACAGTCATAGGTGAGTTCCGGGCATGGTTCAACTCCAGCGCTCGTGTTTCTAGGGATTAGGCACTCGAGAGATACCCCGCCCGGATTGAGGATTTATGTGCAAACTTCCAGCGCACGATAAATTAGCGTTACATTATCAAATTATCAGTTTGTGAGAATGTTTCAGATGAACGGCCCCGGTAGCTGCTGGAAGCAGGAGATTTTGAATGTGTTTAAAATTAAGTTTGTGCATTGCAGTACCTCCCAAGCTTAGTCCATTCTACGCTGAAGATACTCTGCATGTGGGTGACCGTGCAACACTGACATGCGCGGTGACCAAGGGTGATGAGCCGCTGACGATTGCATGGCACAAGGACGGGCGGCAGATCGTCTCCTCGCAGATGCAGATGCACATCCAGCAGGTGGATTCGTTCACTAGCATACTGTTGATTGAGAGCCTCTCGCAGGAGCACAATGGGAACTATTCGTGCGTGGTGCGCAACCTGGCCGCCGAGGTGTCGCATACGCAGCAGTTGGTCGTCAATGGTAATCCCCACACACACACGCTGCGAGCGCGCATGGAGGCCGCCCGCGCGGCCGCCATTTTGTTCATATACTATTTCGATTTAAGTTGGTTTATATCAGGCCCTATGCGTTTTTTCTCTTATCTCTCTGACGGTGCGTTTTTCTCTCTCTGTCTGTTTATCTCTCAGTTCCTCCCATTATCGAGCCCTTTTCCTTTCAAGACGGGCTCTCGGAAGGCATGCGAACCCGTACGGTGTGCGGCGTTAGCGCCGGCGACCAACCGCTGGTCGTCTCCTGGCTGAAGGACGGCCATCCGCTGACCGCCGCGCTGGGCGCAAACGTGTCGGCCCTTGACCCCTATTCTAGCCTCCTCAGCATTTCCAGCCTCGACTCGCGGCACTCCGGCGACTTTACGTGCGTCGCCAGCAATCCGGCCGCCGAGGTCAGGTACACCGCCAAGCTGCAGGTCAAAGGTAACGCAACCCGTACCGCATCCTCTCACATTCGCTCCCAGCCCGCCATGCGCCCGCCTCTCGTGGTCCGCCACCACTCACCGCCCTCACAGCCACACCACCACCACTTCCGTTGCTTTGGCACACGCGTCCGGACCGGACCATCCACGGTCAAGGTACTGTTGCACCACTCTTGAGTTGGGTTGTCTTCATTTCGATTTTTAGTAGCCGTCGATCGCCACTCTGCATGCACCTCTCTGTTGGTCGTTTGTGTCTAGCTTGGATTGTGCTCACCTTTTTACTTTTCTGTTACTTTATCGTCTTAAGTTAAGTGTCTCAGAGATAATACGACGGTCGGCCGCGGCGAGTGCATCCCCCGAGTGCACGCGCCGCGCCCGATTCAATATTGGAACTGACCCTCTCACCAGTACTTGCTTCTTGCAGCAAAACTGACCAGTAAAGTTAGCCAGATACCCTCCCATTGATCAGAACCGTGTAGTGTCGTGTCAGTGTGAACCACCAAAAGTAATCACGGCACCAAATCACTAAATGTTACGCAATTGCAATTCAAATCAGAAAAAATATTATAATAAACACCATCCTAAGTCCTACTATTCCACAAACTAACCCTTGATCAATTGTAGTGCCGCCACGTTGGTTGGTCGAGCCGATGGACGTCAGTGTCGAACGCAACCGCCATGTTGCACTTCATTGCCAAGCGCAAGGAGTTCCGACACCGTTAGTCACATGGAAGAAAGCAACAGGTATTCTTATACCCTCTCTTTATCCCAATACATTTACTACAGATTTTATAAAATTAGGGAGCAAATCTGGTGATTACGAAGAAGTGCGTGATCAAATGTACACGAAAATCTTAGAAAACGGTACCCTGCTTCTCCAACACGTCAAAGAAGACAGGGAAGGATTTTATCTTTGCCAGGCTGACAATGGTATTGGCACAGGTATTGGTAAAGTCATACAACTTCGTGTCAATTGTAAGTTAACCCAATCTAATTCCATTATAAATTTTAATATAATGTTATCGCAGCATCACCATACTTCTCGGCACAAGCCCGAATGATCTCTGTCAAAAAAGGTGACACAGCATCATTACACTGCGAGGTTAGTGGTGATAAACCCATCAGTGTAATTTGGCTCAGAGGTAGTAAGACGGAATTAAACCCATCGACAAACTACCGCCTCCGAGTGAAACAAGATAGTACACCTGAAGGTGTTGCTGCTGAGCTGCAAATTGACTTGGCGGAAGCCGCAGACAGTGGTACTTACATTTGTCAAGCGAGTAATCTTTACGGTAGAGACCAACAAAGAGTGCAACTGCTTGTTCAAGAACCTCCGCTAGCTCCCCAGTTGTTGGAAGCTTCCATGATTAGTAGTAGATCTGTGAATATGAAATGGCAGCATAGATCTGGGGACTCCAATGAGGTGTTTAAGTTTATTGTGGAATATCGGGAAATTGATCGTGAGTATTATTTTAAATACTTATGTATTTAGGTAGTAAAAAAACGTGCTTTTTCCAATTCAGGTCCTTGGCATCAGATTGAATTAGCTGATACCCCACTGCAATTTACTGCCCTCATAGAAGATCTCAAACCAGCAACGAGGTATGCTTTCAGGGTGATTGCCGAAGGACCAGCCGGCAAAAGTGCACCCAGTGTTGAGCTTTTGGTACGAACAGAACCTCAACGTCCAGCGGGTACACCATTAAACCTAGCTGTACGTTCAGTGTCATCTACCGAGTTGCTGGTCACCTGGACCCCACCACTGCCAGAGTTACGTCACGGAGATATACAGGGTTACAATGTGGGTTTCCGCATTGGTAATAGTGGTTCATATAACTTTACTTCCATCACTGGAGATGGTGAGGATGGAAGTGGGGAGTTACTGTTTGGTGGGTTGGCGAAATATACGCGCTATACTATTGTTGCTCAAGCTTTCAACGAAATTGGTGCTGGTCCTCTAAGTGAACCAGCTACAGCTCAAACTATGGAAGATGGTAAGGTCTTTTATATTTATCTTAAATTTTGTTTATAATAAAGTGAATTTCTGTAGTGCCAAGTTATCCTCCTGAAGATGTCCGTTGTGCTTCCCTAACATCCCAATCTCTACAAGTGAGTTGGCAACCGCCCCCAACAGAGCAATGTAATGGTTTAGTCCAAGGTTACAAACTTACTTATGAACCAGTCTTGGATGACAGCTGGCGAGGTAATGATGAAATGGAAACTCGTAAAACCACCGCCCTTACCACAGTCATCACCGGCTTGAGAAAGTTCACTAATTATAGTTTACAAGTCCTTGCATTTACGAAAGTCGGTGACGGGGTTCTTACATCAACCACATTTTGCCAAACAGAAGAAGATGTGCCTGGACCTCCAGCAGATATCAAAGCAGTCGTTAGTTCACCACAATCTTTGTTAGTTTCATGGCTACCACCTTTAGATGCAAATGGCGCTATAACAAAATTCACATTATACAAACGAAGCATGGAAGGACGTCAAGAAATTGATCACACTAAACAAACTATATCTAGTCAACATACCAGTTATGAAGTGAAAGGTATTCAACCACATGTGGAATACCAATTCTGGGTGACTGCTTCAACCAGAATCGGGGAAGGTCAGAGCTCCAAAGTTGTCACTCAGGTTGCTTCTAATAGGGTACCAGCAAGAATTATTTCCTTTGGTGGTATTGTGGTGAAACCCTGGCGTGGATCTGTTGCTTTATCGTGTATATCAGTGGGAGCACCAAAACGGGAGTGGTTACGCAGTGATCAGATACTCAAAGGTGGAGCAAATCATAATATCCAGCTGCTGGACACTGGGGAACTTATTTTATCCAACCTACAACTATCTGATTCCGGAAATTACACGTGCCAAGTGGATAATGGGCAAGGGTCTGACAAAGCAACCTACAACTTAGTTGTTCAGGTACCTCCATCTGCTCCAATGTTGTTTGTGACGAGCGCTACAAGTAGTAGCGTTTTGCTTCATTGGAAGCCAGGAATTGATGGTGGGGCTTCTATAAATGGATATACATTGAACTATAGGAAGGAACATGGAAATCTGGATGAAGTTCGATTGTCTCGACATGCAATGACGTTTGAATTGAGGGTAGGTGCTACTAATGAAGTTTAAGTTAAGTTTAATGAAAAATTTGATTGTTTTTAGGGACTTTTGTGTGGAACAACATATCATCTCTATCTGGTAGCTCATAATAAAATTGGGTCTAGCCCAGCAAGCCATCCACTGCAAGCAAGAACTCAGGGCCATCCTCCAGGAGTACCATCATCACAGAGTTTCATTTCACCAAATTCCACATCAGTTATTCTAAGGTTACATGTGTGGCCGGACAATGGCTGTCCAATATTATATTTCATCCTACAATATCGCAAGGCGTCGGAATCCCAGTGGACTCTGGTGTCTAACGCTCTGAAACCACAACGTCGTACCGCCATTACGGGACTCACCCCAGCTACGCAATACATTGTCAAATTAGAAGCACACAACATCGCTGGGTTTTCCACTGAAGAGTTTGCTTTCATGACATTGACAAAAGAAGGAGGTAAAAATACGAATATTATTCATGGTTAAATGTAATTTATATAAATGTGTTTTCAGAAATACCTCCTCCGGATCTCATGCAACAAGGTCACGACGCCATCGCTTTCTACGCCGATGCGAAAGTGTTTGTGCCGTTGATAATCGTCGTGGTTTTGATCATCCTTTCGGCCGCCACAACCGTCGCCTGCCTGCGACATCGTAAGTGACGATTTAGGCTGGTTTGTATTCATTTATGCACATGAATAATTTGCTCGCAGGCCAAAATGAAGCTGCCAAAGAACAATTAGATAATCAGCACAACGCGGAGGCGCAACGCGAACGCTATTACGCCACCATACATAAAGTCGCTCTGCAGGCCGGAGAAAAAATTCCAGGTACACTTTACTACATTAATCCCTTTGTAAATAATCGTAAATATAATTTAAATATGTTGCATTTTCTTCAACAGATTTGTATATATTGCCTGCTGATTGGTGTTGTGTTTTAGGATATCTACATTGTCCTAATTTGTACAATAAATTTGTAGAAACATCCGAGGACATCTCGCCGTACGCAACATTCCAGCTGACAGAGCCGAGTACGCTGCCACAGAATACAATGCTGCATAGCTTCATGTATCACGAGCACGCTATGACCGAGGGCTGCGCTTCGCCGCCCCCAGCGTCGTCAGTGCAACGCAACTCACCGTACTACAACATCGTGAGTTATTGATTTATTGAAATTCGCACTGGGTGTTAATTATATGCATTGTTTTAATATTTTAGCAAAAATATCAAAGCTCCAAAGGCCATGGCCGTCGACGGGCGAACCGGAAAACGGACGTGGACAGTGATGAAAGCGAGTCTGATCCGGATCAACTCACAAGCAGCAGGACAGAATCCTCTAATCACTTGGACTTGAAACATAAGCACAGTATGTGGTTTTATTATTCGTCAATGGCTCCATTTCTTTTCGTTTGCTTTAAATGTAATATCACGTATCTTTTATTTTAGTTAGTAATGTGAAATCTGGAAATTGATCCTTCTAGCTTGCCTATTTATTTACTTGCACAGTTTTCTGTTGAGTTCAAGAGTGCGATATGATTTGGTTGCGTTGCGTTTTTTTCGGCCCGTTTCGTAGCTGACGGCAGAGCAAATGCCGTCATGTCTCAAATACAGCGTATTTCTAGATTTCATCTATCACGGCGCGCAGTCCAGCACGTCGTCGGACATCTCTCCGATGTCCGAGCAGAAATCGCTGCCGCGGCGAGGCCGCGCGAGGTACTCGCTGCCCAAAAATAACGTGTACCAAAATGAAAGCACGTGCATTCCAGGTGGCTGCAGCAGCGTGCCGGCTCGCAACGCCACATGCTGCCGGTGCTCTCGGTCGCCGAGACGGCCTTCGGCCCCGAGCAGCAACAGCAACAGCAGCAGCACACGCCCGACCGGCCCGAGCTGAGCGAGGCCGAGTGCGACATCGACACGCTGAAGAAGCTCAAGCTCGGCTTGCGCAGCTCGCTGTGGTCACGACCGAGCAGCTCCGGCCAGGCGACCGACTACTCCATCGCTGTTTAATGCGCGTACACACGCCCCCGCAATCCGCCAAACTAATCTACAAAACAAAACTAACGAAACCGCATGCCAAAACTGAATGATATCAAAAAACTGGAAACTCATCAAACTCAAACATAGACTATTAAGACTTCTTACCACTTAAGATATGAAATCAAACGAATGTTTTTTTAAACAAAGGGGCGAAGCGTACAATACACCAGTATTCAAGTTTAGCGTTTAACTAAATGAGGGTAAAAACACTTTGTAATTAAAGTACATACATATAAATATGATAAATTATGAGATAATGAAATCATTTGTTAACAGTTATTGCAAATTATACACTGATTACTAACTGCGTTCATCTAATGAATCAAAATTAAACGAAACTAAAAGCAAAAAGAAAATCATGAATCGATAAATTTTATACCAAAAATGATGAAAAGAAAAAACCTGTGAATTTACATGGATATATTCTATTAGCGTTTTGTTTGAGGGAATTTATTAATCTATAAGTATAACGGCGAGAAACAAGTTTCAGACCGTTATTGTTCATTAAAACCGCAAAATAATAAAACTTTGGACGGATATACCTTTCGACATTTTCAAGATTTTTCCACACACAACACATACACACACACACAAGACATACTCTATTGTGAATATATCATTTTATATATTACATAATAATGCAGTAATTATAGCGAAATTATTCGAAAATGAAACGAAATTTCCAAATAAGTCTGTGTAACAAAATGGAACAATCAATGTGAAACGTACATAATGAAAATATGAAATCAAAACTACTCCCCCACATCAAATCTTATCCCCCTGTAACTGTATACAAGTATGTATTATAGAAACCAATTTAATTGAAATAAATTACTGTAAAATTCCCTCTCGCGTAGAATTAACAACCAGAAACAAGAAATGTGAAATTTTAACCAATCTTTCACAACCAGAGAAATATTTTCATTTTTTCTTTAATTCGTTTCAGTATATTTCATAATATTTTCAACAACAATTCATTCATTAGCATGTCATACAAATGTGCACACCGATCGACATTTCACATGAGTTACAAAAAATCTTTATACAAAATACTTTATGTGTGCAAAAAAGCATATATATTTGGTTACCTTTAGTTCATTGAGCAAAATTCTCATGTTTCCTGCACTCAATGCTCAGTTGCTTGACGGCGGCTGCATATTTACGTTGTAGATCAGTGAGCGCTTGCATCTTGTACGTCAACTGATCGCGTCTTCTTCGTTCTTCATTCAGCCGCTTATCCACTTTAGCACGCGATGATTTCACATTCTCGATGATAGACTCAAATTGCTTTAAGAATTCTTCTTTCCCTGCCGATGTTTGCATTGCACTGCAGTGTATAATATTGTTAGGTTAATAAATTATTAGAATAAACACAAAACTTACGTTGGATAGCTATCGGATATTGAGTTTAGTAAAGAAATCTCCGTTTTCATATACCGTCGGGTATCCTCCAGCGTATTGTAGAGAGTATAATATTGTTTGGTTTCTTTATGTTTGGAGGCAACTAAAAATTCATATTTTAGTTAGTTTTATAACTCACATCCAGTAAAATAATATATACCTTGATTATATAGTTCTAAAAACCTGCGTTGATACTGCGCTAATTCAGCACGACTCGGTACGTCATCCAATTGTCGCTGTAAGCTAACAATCGTTCTATTTTTCTTAGCCAATTGCAATCTAACTGCTTTCAAGCGTTGTCCGGCTTCCTTCACTTCCTGTTCGTTTAATTCATCATTCACTACGGGCGTTTTCGCCTTTTTCGTCTCTTCAATTAAAACATGTAAACTAGACAATTCCTTTTTGCAATGTTCACGGAACTGTAACTCCTGTGTGCGTAAATTATCATTGAGTATCACAAGATCCTCGACTTCCTTCACATTATCAGCAGTCTCATCCGTCGCTTCTTCGATTTCCTTCAAAGATTTACGTGTTTCTTCTAATCTAGTTTTAATCTCTTGCAGTTCCTCATTGGCTTGCTTGATATTAGCGGAAATACTAGCTTTATCACCTTCTAGTTTACGGCAATGATCTGATATCAACTCGTTTTGTTTCTGCAGTACGAGAAGTTTTTCCATTTCGCGTGACTTTAATCCGCCATCTTGTAATTCGCTGTGCAGTGCCATGTAGTGCTTCGCTAACTTTTCACGGTCTTCGAGATTTAACTCGTCATATAACACAGTATCCTATTGGAATTAAATTTAAAAGTAATAAAATCAATAAAGTTTAATATATTTTACAACGCAGCACACAAAAATAATTAAAATAATAGAAAAACACTTACAGCGTCGGATATTTCAGCCATGACATTTAAAATACGATCAATTTGCTAAGAAAACACAACAAAAATTATAAGCACAACGATAACACACTGCAATCTCACACGAAAGCGATATTTTTACCTCGTTACTCTCCTGTTCCTCAACCTCTTCACTTTCCGTGCTCTTTGATGCAGTCATCTTACCCCTCATGCCATATTCCAACAGTGTCACCTGCACTTGTGATGAAAAGTCAGCTGGTGGACCTGTCTTACGCTTAAAACACCGCCGGGGCCGGTACACTTCGTTGATACTATTTATATTGCACATAATTTGTTCGGTTTTGCCCGTTGGCTGCTTGTTTGGGGGCGCAAAAGCCTTATGGTACTGATTAATGGCGTACGAGTGTACAAACGCAGCGCGCTCCTGACGATACTCCATCGAACGCTTGACAAGCCATTGTATCACTGGAAATATGTGGATAAAATCTAATCCCTGGATCTGATGCGGTTCAATCGCATGCGGACATTTGAGTTTCGGCAGGACGGCCACTATTTTCTCAGTTAAAGCTCTAAAAATATTTAATTAATGTAAGTTTTGCTGAAATCGATGATTAATCTTACATTTTTTGGCCAATAGTTGAATTCTCTTGAAATAATAAATCCACATCCACATCAACATTGCAAGACTCTATACACCAAGTCATTCCACCCACAACTTTATCAAAAGGTGATAAACCTTTGATTCTGGCACGAAAATATCCAGCAGCAACAAGAATATCAATAATCTCCTGTAGTTTGACTCCCTGTTCCTCATCTTCACGCACTTCCACCTACAATAATCATTTTTATTTACTGAATTTATTATTAATTAAAATAGAATTGTACCTCTGTGCCATCTGCATCTTGTCTGGTGGAAAGTTGCTTAAACTTTCTGAACATTTCTTGATTTATTGCCGCCATTTTTTTCACTTGCGGCGTTATCACATTATCACTTCAGTTACTGCATATTTTCGTTTGTTCGTAGGGAGATAAGAGAGTTGTGTGTGAAGGACATGGAATACAAATTGGCTTTAACTGTTTGTTATTCAAGTGCTAAGTGGAGTTCATCATGAGTTCGGTAAACGTCAAAACATTCAGTTGCAGGTTAGATCGTCGCAGATGTCAATAAAGCAAGTGTACTAAATTATTTCTGTAACTATTATTTATTTTCTGCGTAATAACGTATGTATAATTGTTCATTTTATTACTAGAAATTTTATTTGTTAGTAAGTATCTTTTATACAAGATTATATTTATCTTGTATATTACTTTGAAAGAATAATTTGCCCAGATGTTTTGAATCAGTTGGTGTTTTTGTAGCGTAACAAGTAGCGCCATGATGGTGAAAGTTGCAATCAAATTATACAACATAAACTTGTACATTAATGAAGTTTATCTTTCTTGGTATTGGTTACATTTTCTCGTATTAATCCTCACTTCGGGTCATTTCATATCGAACTAAAACAGTAATTTCGATTATTCCTAAATGATTCATAACTTTGTATTTTATGCCAACGCATGTGCCGGGAACTACCGCCGCTGTGGTGTAAAAGCGAACTAAACAAGAACATACGGCAAGTTTCTGACTTTTTCCCTAAATTTAACTTTTCTGAGCTTAAAACCGGCTAATTATATAATGCTGCATATCCTCGACAGAACACGTGCTGAAATTAAGGTTCAATAACTATAAAAACCGGCAAATCAAGTGTAACAATGTTTTATTTGCAATTGAGTGCACACTTCATTGGTTCCTAACATTACAAAGTACAAGTACAGCACATTTGATATCTCTTTACACATCATTGGGAATAATTTACGCGTTTTAAAATGCATGTTCTTTAAGATCACAACAAAATGCATCCTCTCTAATCCTCATAAACCCACTCCTTCTGAGCTGGGGTCCAGCCAATCTGCTCCTTCTCTGTGAACCAGAGATTGATCTCCTTCTGGGCGGACTCGACAGAGTCGGAACCGTGGCAGATGTTGCGTCCAACTTGCACGCAGTAATCTCCACGGATGGTGCCGGGGGCACTGTCAGCGGGGTTGGTGGCGCCGAGCATCACACGGCCGGTCTTCACAACATTAAGACCTTCCCAGACCATTGGGACGATGGGTCCGCTGCTCATGTATTTAACCAGACCGCCGAAGAATGGCTTGCTGGAGAGATCAGCGTAGTGCTTGGCGAGGAGGTCATCAGACGCCTAAGAGATTTAAATAAAAAATAATTAAAAATCGCATGTAAAATATGTGGAAGTTTTACTTACCCACATGAACTTCATGGAGACGAGTTTGAAGCCTTTTTCTTCGAAACGCTGGACGATTTTGCCGACGAGTCCACGGTGGACGCCGTCAGGCTTGATCATGATGAAGGTGCGTTCGCTGTTACCCGACATGGCTCTGATTCCGCGAGAAACTAAGAAAAAAACCGTCAAGAAGGAAATGAGCATAAACTAGCGTGGCTGGACGCGAACGAAATGAACGAGTGTGGCGTGCCGACACCACAGGAAACCACGCAGAGTATCGTCGATATGTTGTGTGGGGGAACAACGTGACGATCGTGGCTTCGCGTGTCTACGTCGAGATCGGCAGAGTTTAAAAAAAGGGGCCGCGAGTCAGACGAGAACCAAGATGTCCACCAATTATACTATACATATAGGCATAGCCGCTGGTTTGCAGGCCGACAGAACTTACGATCCTGCGCAAGTCTTTCCATGTCTGCTTCAACCTCACTTCCTGCACCTGCTCCATCTTCACCGCCACCATTACACTCTTGCCTTATCATGATCTTTATCAAATTCACCGTCTGACGGTCATTCACTATTATATTTGTTTTTTGCTTGTTGGTCCTGCCAACTTTTAAATTTGTTGAAAATCGCGCATTTATAAAATGGCAACGTGCCAAAATAACACGATTCGCGTATGTCGCCAATTGTTAGCTCCGGTTTGCTCTGTTTAGCTCTGTCTCTATTTGATCTATCGATTTGTTTATTGCGCTGTCATTGTTGCAGTTTTGGGCACATAACGTAGCAACCGCCTTTGCGTGCGGTAAGCCGTTACTATGATCTTAATGGTAATTTCTACTAGTGTTGACTCCTTGTGCGCTTAATTAAGTGAACAATTTGCCCAGAATAGCCGAGAAAACTAAATTAACCGAAGGTAATGAACATTTCGCTACATTTACTAACTTCGAAGCGTCAAAGAAAACACAATCGATTGTGGTCGCACGTTGTTAACCAACGGATGCTATAGAATCAAAAGTTAGTCATGTTTCTATCTGATCATTAGGAAATTACTCGATATGGCAAAAAACGAGACTTTAATGATAAGTCAAACATTTTTATTTCGATTAATTAATAGATAACTGGATTATAACGCGTTGTTAACTTTCTTTTCTCAAATGACACCGTGTGTCAACAGTTTAACGATGTTAATTAAACAATTGAAGGATAATAAAAGTAGTAGTAATTGTAGACGCGAGTAAAACTTTCCTTCCATACAAATATTGAAATTTCCACACGGATGTGTTTCTCTAGTGATATTTTAACGCGTTTTGAACGCTAGCAATGGAAAATTCCGCTTCAAGGGCATTCGAATGCCAGCTGCGCGTTCTACGTATTTGACCAATCAACACAGGTTGTAATGCAACATGGCACAAGTCGATGTACTGCGCCTGCGCATATGCAGCAGTTTGGTTCCGGAGCAGATCACTAGCCGTACGCCATATTTTTTTGCGCTCTTAACACGACAACACCATTACAAGAATTGCATGCGCAATTCGTACGCAGTGCTTTGTTATTTCTTCGGAAAGAACTGTTACTGCAGTGTGACGCGAGAATAAGACAATCGATTGTGTTTAAGTATATAGATAGGGTGACGCGATTTACGAGTGAGTTACGTTTTCCATGTTCGTCATGCAGACGCAAGGTATCAACAATCAATCGCACGGCACGCCGACAAATCAAGTGATCATAAAAATGAACGAAGCACCGCAACTGACGTCACTAGGTAAGTTTGTTGTTTGATTTCATTGTTACGATGACACTCAGAATGCATGCCAAACCTTTTACCTTGGTTCCGGGAGTGCATTATCGGTTCATCTCTTCGAATTGTAATTTATATCAAAATGGAGTCACAATATTAAATGTTTTTCATTAACTTATTTTGTTTTGTTTAGGGCTCCTTGAGTTGGCACATAGAGAATATCAGGCTGGTGACTACGAGAACGGCGAGCGGCATTGTATGCAGTTGTGGAGGCAGGACTCAACCAACACAGGAGTGTTGTTGCTGCTCTCCAGTATTCACTTTCAATGCAGACGCCTTGAAAAATCAGCACATTTCAGCACACTGGCTATTAAACAGAATCCGCTTCTTGCTGAAGCATATAGGTAAATTTAAGTGTGAAATAAATCATCCATTTTGTTAACTTTGTTATTTCTTTGCCCTCAGTAATCTTGGAAATGTATATAAGGAACAAGGACAGCTTCCCGACGCTCTCGCGAATTACAAACACGCTGTCCGCTTGAAACCTGACTTCATTGATGGATATATCAACTTGGCGGCGGCGTTAGTTGCAGCTGGCGACATGGAGCAGGCTGTGCAAGCATATATTACTGCACTACAATATAATCCAGTAAGTTTAACTATGTTCAATATATTTGTGTGCAAATTTATAATTCGTTTTTGCATTGCAGGATCTTTACTGCGTGCGCAGTGACCTGGGTAATCTTCTTAAAGCGTTAGGACGCTTAGACGAAGCCAAGGTAGGTCAAAACGAAATAGTTTGAATTTCCTCTCGTTCCATCCTCTCATTACATTGTTGTCGACATTGCATTTGGTGCAAAAACTTAGTTTATACATTTTTCAACATCAAAACTAGAAAATAATCAATTGTTTATTTTTTAATTCAGTAATATAAAAGGCCACCAAAATGCAATGTCGATATAAACATATACCTTACGCAAGAGTATAATTACAATTTACACTGCGCTTGTTTGAAGACAGTGTTGCATTTAAAGATGGCTGATGGTTTCATTGAGCGCTTTGGCGTAGCAAGCGCATTACTAAATTGCGACAAATCTTCGAACGCCAACCGGGTCGCAAGCGCTGCGACTTTTGGGCATACAGAGTTGGTATTCGTCGAGCGTAGAAGGTAGAAAGTTTCCGATGGCTCGATCTTGGCGTACTATACGTAGGCGTTTTTTATTTTGTCCTGAGCGTAAACGGTTTATTTTTGTTTACTTTTTGTCTTAGCAATAAGAATATCGCACATAAATAACGTATTTAATCATAGTGGGTGTGTTATTCTCATTGGTAGGACAAATACAGCGAAAGCGTAATTTGTTTTTTCATTGCAAATATGATCATGATATGAAATTATCAGGCATGGCGAGACACTTGCGTTAGGTTCATCATACTAATGATTATATTTTTTTATTGAAGGAATCAACGTATCCATGTGTTAAAAATACAAATTTAGACGAATCGAAACAAAAGTTGTTTTGTTTTTTTAACTTATTCTGTTTGTTATCGATTCGTGTATGTTTGTCTTTTTAAAAAAGTGTAAATTTACATGAATCCTGTGAATCCAAAGCCCCCCTTTATAATCGATTAACATTTGTTCAAATCAGGATTATCACCTTATCACACGTGGAAATCCGGCTGTCAGTAATCAAATGGGGCGTTTATGTTTTCAGATGATATTTGCGTTAAAATTTGGTGATAAATCTGTTTGATTCGAACGATCGAAATGTTATTATACATGCCGTGTGTGTGTTTTCTCGAAACGACAGTATTAATCTAATGATGGTATTACTATTGCTGTACAATAACACAGGTTTGTGGCATCAGTTGTGGCGCACTGCGTTTGTAAACACTTCGAAGCCTGGTAAACAAGCGCTTTAAATACAGGTAATGTACGCAGGCGATGAGCACATTCTCTAAGGGGTATTTATTTTCTATCTTTATAGCGGCAAGCGATTGTTGTTTTTAGGTAATCGAGAGAGAGGTGGGGCCACTCTCGCGCTGGCGTAGCGTGTTTGTTATTGCTAACCAAATCAATTAATATATACACACCATAATATACACACACTCCCTGTTTTGAGAATTTTTCGTCTCTTTGACGCGCCAAATCGATTGCGAATGCGTATCTCTGCGTGCGTAAACTCTATGCGTAGTTGAAAGTGCAAGTTGCGTTTTTGCTGCATTGCGTAGATCAGCTGCTGTGTTGTGTTTTATACTTGCGTATGCGTCGAGTTTTCCATCCGCCGCGCATCCAAATACCTCTTTTGTAGTCTCGCTGGGCGCGAGCGCGCTGCGACTTTGCGATATGTTGATGATGATGACTGACACACGGAGATGGCCCCCCGAAAAGTGGATGCTTGCGCGAATGCCGCGACTGTATCTTGCGCACGTATTAATTCCTAGCTTGTCTGTCTCTCTAGGCGTGTTACTTGAAGGCGATCGAGACGCGAAATGATTTCGCCGTCGCCTGGAGCAATCTGGGGTGCGTGTTCAATGCACAGGGTGAAATCTGGCTGGCGATTCATCACTTTGAGAAGGCGGTTGGTTTGGATCCCAATTTTCTCGACGCCTACATCAATCTTGGCAACGTTCTCAAGGAGGCGCGGATTTTTGATCGGTATGTATTGCTGTTTTCGTTATAATTACTATTACGCCTCATTTAAGAGTGTTATTAGTAAGTTATTCTGAGGATGACTCAAAATGTCGTCATTCAAGGTTTACTAGTGTTGCGTCATGTCGAACACTATTAGTTCATGTTTGGTGTTTTCTTCAATTGCAATCGATAGTGCAGTGAAGTTAGTTGTTTAAAATTTTGTGCTTCATCATTTTAAAAGCATATCGGTAAGGTAATCAACCGAGTTACCCTAATAATCTCAACTAGCAATTGTATTGGAAAAGGTAGCGCGGAAATGAATTTCGTTTATTAACGCTCTGCACGCAATCGTTGAATTATTATGCTATCGATTGTCACTGACGTTGACGCCGTGTTTGACATTATAAAAAATACTATTTTTATGCGCCTTGTTGAAATAATTTACCGCTCGCGTGCAGCTCACCTACGTTTTGCGCCTAATTAAAACTTTTCCGAACGGTCGGGAAAGTTGTAAGCACAAAATTAAATAATTCGCAGGCATTTGTGGTGAAAAGGGGGCGTGCACGTAACCTTGGTGCTTGCCCAAGGCAAGCCTAGGCGCTTTGACTTTAGGCTCGTGTGCACGCACGCATTGCAAACCATGTTGCGTCGGGACGCACGCTTCGCTCGATAGGAGCAGCGAGGCGTTTGGCGTTAAAGTGTGTCATGCACCAACCGATGATGCGGCATGCGGGATGCGAAAAGTGCGGATTGCGCAGCCTCTGCCGGTTACCCTGGCGACGCCACCCCGAGACCCGGCCACGTCGCGTCCACCACTATCATCCACCCGCCACCAGCAGCCGCACGCTGCCATTCAGTTTCAGTCCAACCGCCGCTCCGACGCACGCCGCACGCCTCTTTTCTCTTCCCTTCGTCGTACTCTTCTCTACCGCTATCGTAGTGCCTAGTGTAGACACCTAGTGCTTCTTGTCCCTCAAATACTCTCTGCAACTCTAA